AGGGAGGAGAATTCAGCGTTCGCCGTTAGGTGAAATTATTGCGGCGCTTATGTTATGGCGACAGAAAATATTCATACTTTCGAAAATGTCAATTTGTTTTTATTTAAAAAAATTGATGAAAATATATAAAGATTCTTTCAAAATTTATTGAATGAAGTTTTTCATTTAAATATAATATTGTAATGAAAGTGGTATAATATCTAAATGGATTCAGTGCTTGTAAAGTGGTACGTGCCATTCACTCATTAGAAAATTGTTCGGTGTTTTGACAAATTCTGTTCAATGCTTCATGTACGAGTCGAATATGATAACTTTCAAAGAAAAAACAGTTAAGTGATTTCACATAAGGGCATTAGAAAGAGTTGAATTATTTTATTTATTTCCCGAAGTGATTAAATTTCAGTACCTCGTTACAAGAATGGTCAAATTGATTTATTTCCCTTGTCATTTAACTTGGTTCATTATTAGAAGCCTGACACAAGGGTGATCAAATTACAGGGACGCATGTATGATACCTAAAGTGATATATTTTTAGTGTCTAGATACGAGGGTGGTATTGTTTCATTACTGCTTAGAGTGATTCAGTTTTAGTGTTTAATTACACAGGTAGTAAAATTGTTTGAATTCTACCTCTTCTTGCTTAAGGAAACAATCTTTCTTACCCGAATGCAAGTACGATGAAATTGCAAGAATATATCCATTTATATCTTGTTCCAAAGATGATAAACTCGCTCGGAGTACTCCACTTGTCACCTAAGGGGTCTCTACTGTCTTATTATAAAGACAGTAAAATTGCTTGGACTATTTCACCTGTATATTACATAATGACCCATTTCTAGTGACTCTAAACAAAGATAAGAAAATTACAAACTTACGGTTCTTGACCCTTTGCGCTCGAAGCCATTTTAACTGTAAATCTAAATTAACTTTTCTGACTTATAGTATTTCCATTTTATACGACAAAGTCCATTTTATGCATATGAAATTGAGTCTTGTGACTCATACAACAGTTAGACTTTTAACAATTTTTTATATCTAAACTTTGATCATGTAAAACTTATCTTGAAACGTGGTGTAACAATTTTAGTGATGCGTCGGATTCACCACTCGAGTGCAAAGGGTTAAGTTTCACCGAATTGTCTTTCACCACAGAAACAACCGAATAATTTTGCCCCAAAAAACCCTAACAACTAAAAATTCTTCGTTAAAATAAAAACCAAGGCACACAATGCAGCTACCAAACATTCCTGTAGCAGAGTTATTGACATTTGGGAGCCTGCTAAGCAGTAAATAAAGCGTGAAAACGAGTTTCCGCGCGGCAGGATCGCGAATCGCGTGTCGCATCGCGGTTAAAACCGCCGGAGGGGAAGAATGCGCGGTGATTGGACGGGCAGGGGTGAAATTCGACGAGAGAACACACGGATGAGGCGAGGGTGAGTCGAGAGGGCCAGGTACAGAGCGAAAGACCAGCGACGGAAAGTAGGTACTTCGAAAATATCGACCGGCAGAGCCGGAGAGAGGTTTCTGCCTCGGAGTCTGTGCCATCACCCGGCCCGGTGTGTTTCCACTTCTCGCCGCTTTACTTCTCCAGAAGTGCAGGAAAAAAAGGCCATATCGGCTCTCTCGCTGGCTGCTGCACCTTTTTTCTCTTCGTATCGTCGCCGTGGTAACATCCCCGAAACCTCTTTTTCCCCACCCACGATCCCAGACCCCGCGGAATTTCGTTTGGCGTTCCTTAACGTCGTTTCGCCCGGTGTCTCCGTAGGAAATTCCACTCCGGCGAAAGAAGTCTCGAACTTTTCCCGTTAATCCTGGAAAATCGCCCTGGACAGACGAAACTAGTAAAAGCAGATAACTGCGGATCTGGCTGTTAGCCTGCTGCTGGGTGGATAAGCGATAAAGACGAGGGGTGAATCGGAATTCGAACGATTAATCAGAAGTTCTTAGTCTTTTGTACTAAGCAAAAAATGTGTATCCGTCAGTTTTTTCATCGAGGTTTATTTAGCTGCGTCGAATTTGCCAAAAATCAAATTATATACTATTTACATATAACATAAAATGAAACAACGAAAGAACAAGAAACGCGCCGCACCACCTATTTTTCCATTCATCTGTTTCTTAAAGCTAAAACAAACAAAAGAAAACATGGTCAACAAATATGTAAAACTGGGCAAAATCTGGATTTAGTGCTGTTGCTGTATCGTTTTGAACTGTACATTCTTTAGAGACATGTAATAGAAGAATAGTAAATATACACTAGAGAAAAGACGAATTTAGTATCGATTTATTTTTGTATTGATCGTGATGCTTCCATTTTGTATATTTCTATTATTCAATGTAAAAGATCAAACTGGCTGAGGCGTATAATGGAAATGTATCTAAGGAACCCAAAAGGAAATACAAACATATTATACGTTCATGAGATGCTTTTACACCGTATGTTTTTCATGGGTTCGTTCTCTGTAATGAATCGATAATAATTGCACTGACAGTTGCATTTTAGTTGTAACATGTACAACGAATTTTCATATTGAATGAAGGGTAACAGGTAAAGTAAAGAATACTTTCAAGAACACGTTCTAGTGCATGCACATGTTGATATTAACTTTAACTAAAACGTAAAACTAGTAGGTTAAAGATCACATTGTTCCGAATAATTGCTTCCTGTTCAAACTCACGCATGTCTAACGCCCGCATTAATCGCGAGTAAACAAAAGAAGTACCCGTATACATAGTTTCGCCCGGTAAAATGAACAGGCAACACAGCAACAACAATCGCACTCCATCCTCATTCACAATTTCCCGCCAGTCTCGTGAACTGCGATGCAAAGGATATTTATAAGAACGCACAGCAAAAATACATGATCCAGTGAATGAACAATAATAACACAGTCCCTGCCCACGTCCTCCACGAACGACGTAAAAAGAACAAAATCGCGCAAAGTCGCGCAGCTCGTCTGTAAACAATGGCCGATCGAGTCGACCGACACAGTGACCGCGAAATTGCTGGAAAGGACGCATGCAAAGCAGGAAGTCGAAATGCCAGCGGTGACTGGCAGCTAAATATTGTAAAATTGATTTCAGCGAGCCGCTGCACACGATCATGATCGCGATAATCGAAGGGCAGAAGGTAGCACTCGGGGAAAAAACTGCCCGACAAGAGTGTACCGGCTCGTGCGGAACACAATGAAGTCTGCGCGCCAGCCCCTGAAATGCCAGCAGCGTGACAAAGGATGGTTAAGCCCTTCTTGACGAAGATGCGCCGTGCGTGCGTCGCCCTTTCCCCCGGCAGGCGTCGCGACGCCGCCGAGTCGATTTCCGGACGGGAAAACAGATTTTTCGCTCGGCTTTCGTTTGTTCGCGAAACAGAGAACGCGTATCGGATCGACTTGGCGCGCGCGCGATTAATTGCCGGTGTGGCTAGGCGCGTCGCGACGCGTTCCCCTACGTCGGGGATTATCGATTTCGCGACCTAACCTTTAACGAGGAAACCGACGCGGCGCCAAGCGTCGGTGCCATCCGAGACACCGGAGCGTTAACGATCCTCGCGCGGCGTCGCGCGCGAGGATACGTCCGCGCGATTGCGACCCGCGATCCAGCTTGATCGAGGGCTTCGGAAAATCAAGGAGTGCGTCTCGAACAACGGGAGTGAAAATAGCGCGCGATCCGGCGCTGCGCCGCGACAGTCGCCAGTCGACGCTCGTGAATAATCGAAGCGCGGTCTCCTCTAGCCGGCAAGTTGAACGAACCATTCAAACCGGCGCGATAGAAACTGCCGTGACAGTTTTGGTGTCACGCGATGCAATAGGAACCTGTTTCTGTGGTCAGTGAGAATCCGATTTGGCTGGATCATGGAGGTGGAGATCGTGCCGTTCATGGAGAACAACGCGAACGGGGGTGGGAACGTGATGAGGCACGGGAGCAGGGTGCAAATCGTGCGGAAGTCACGGTGAGGAGTCCGATGATCCTGATAACGATAGTTCTAGTTTGCGGAGCTGTTCGATGCTATGGAATATTGTGACTAAATATTAGGAAGAATTATTGTTCCTTCGATTTTTTTAATACGAATTGTTTCGAGGTATTTTTTCTCGATGCTTTTGTTGTGTCAGTTGTACCGATCGAAATTATTAAACAGCAGCTTCAGTTGTTTGTCAAAGATTGAGTATGACGTTTTTGAAATACTGAGACCAAAATGTGGAATATAGACATGGGATAGTGCGGCGGATAGACACGGTGCAGTTGTGTGAGGAAGAAGAAACTAGAAAGTGGACGAATAATCTGATCACGGATATAGTGGTTAATAGACTGTGGATCTTTATGAAAAATAAAAATCGGCTGTATCAAATACAAGAAACATTAGCGACATAGAAGTTTCTCTTTTTATGAATGCACGAAATCCATAATCTAACAATGAACAAGCTATGAAAATTGCTTTACCGAATGAAACACAAGCGCGTGCCTTGCGATTTGATCATCAATTGTAGGATAGAGAAGTAAAAATGCATTTTTTTCTTTCAATAATTTCACTAAATTGTAACATACCAATACTCGTAAGTTTTCTTGACGTTTTTCGCTGTATAGTACTTCGCTTACGCAATTTTGCGCGTCAAAAATAAAACTCATACTAATCAGAAATAATCAAGAGATCGTACAAGGGTTAAAAGGAAAATACACAAACGGGAGTTCAAAGGAATAGTTACGTGCCAAAAGAAAACACGGGAACAAAAGTTCGACAGTATAGATAGATGGTAAAGAAAATACAGAAACAAAAGTTGAAAAGTGTCGTTAGATGCTAAAGAAAATACAGAAAGAGAACTTCAAAAGAATAGTTTGTTTCTCCCTACTGTCGCGTGCTGCAAGCTCGCAGTGAATATAGATAGTATAAAAATTTAAAGTGGTAAAACAAAGATGGGCTTGAAGGAGGATATTACGGCGGTGCGTGACCCGTTGAACCGAGGTCGAGGTTCACGCGCGAGTTACCGTTCTTTTACCGCTTCCAGGACGTCGCTGTTCATTATCATGAGCTTCATCTATGCGAAGCTGCTGGTAGTGGTGTGCATCGCTTACGTGATCAGCGAGGTGGTCACGCACAAGCTGCCTCTCTACTACTACGAAGGATTCTTCACGTACCTATACGGAGTTAGCATCCTGTTCCTGCTCTACGTGTTCTGCTTCCTGCTGCAAGAGAGCGCTTGGTGTGCTAGGGGTAGCGACACCCCACCTCCGCCACCGAGACCGCCGAAACCTATCAAAGAACCAAAAGAGAAGAACAAGAAGAAGGATAAGAAAGACAAGGAGCAGAAGACTCCGAAGACCAAGAAGGAATACCAGGTTTGTTTCGTATTTTTGTATTTTTCTTGGACGAGGTACTTTGCATTGCTATCGTCTGTACCCTAGTCTAAGACATCGAATAGGCGACAATCCAGGTCTCATTTTTAGATCCCGAGAAGGTTTAGGTCTCGACAGCTTGATCTATTTTAAAGATCTATTTCAAAGTGGTCGAACCACTTTTTTATCTCAAAAAGAAAAGCATTTGCTGCCTTACTAGCCGTGTAGGCTAACTTATATTAGGTCTACCGGAAAGTTCTGCCGGTTTTTGAATTGAAATATAACACAATTTTCATACATTTAATAAAATAATACTTTCCATCGTTACTTATGACTTCTTGCCAGCGTGATGGCAACTTGTAAATGCCATTTTTAAAGAATGATTTATTTTTAGAGGCGAAGAACTCAACTAGTGCTTAGTTGACATCAGCTTCAGTTTTGAATTTTTTTCCTGTAAAAAGTTTTGCAAAGAGAGAAACAAGTGATAATCGGAGGGTGCTAGGTCTGGGGAGTATGGTGGATGCGACAGAATTTCCCAGCCTAGCTCTGCGATTTTCTGACGAGTCGCCAAAGCAGCATGTGGTCTGGCATTATCATCGGTAGCCATGTTTTCGCGATCGCGTCTCACTTAATAATGACATGAGACACCTCTGTTTCAGTTTAATTAGGAGAGTACATGTGTGTAAATGCAATGATAAAGAGAGATAGTCATATATGTCTCAAATCAACATGTGCATATGGATTGAAACTTGAAGTGACACTATCGGACAGAACATTCCGGTAGACCTAATAAATTATAAATTAGGTGCGATCTAGTTATGTGATTTAAAAAAACACAGGTATTTGCTAGCATAAAAAAACTACTATAGAAATCATATCTTGGATTCAGTCCACAAGTCGGTTCAAACTGGAAGTTGCGTGTCCGGGCAAATTCCATTAGAAAAGATTCCGAAGACCGATGTTATTGGTTCAAGGATCAGTCAAGCAGAGCCCTATCTGAGGGCCACTGATCGCGACGAGTGTGGCCTCGATGGAAAAAGATTTTTAATCGTGGAAACCGGGTACCGAATCGCAGTATCTCGTCCACGGGTCATGAATTTCGAGAGGCGGGCTGTCCGTGAAGTGTATTTCGGTCATTCGCTACGAATATCGAGCCGATGATGCGATTTTAAGAGAGTCACTTTCGGTGCTGACATAAGTGGGTTAGCCTGTCGGAGATCGAGCGTCGAGCAGGAGGCACGTGCTGCCGTTCCCCCATTCATTATCACGTGGGTCCACTTGAGAACTGAACATTCGGCAGTTTCGCGCTCATTAAAGGCCCGCGCAGCCTTTTCGGGTATCGTCAGTCATTTCGGGATTAGTTCGACACGCGAATTCCCATGAGCCTCGAATGGAAGCTTAACGAGACAAGTCTGAGATAGGGAATAATGATTCAGGATGCGGCGGATGTTGAAGCTGGAGTTGCTACGCGCGCGCTGAGGAAGCGGAAGACGTCGCAGAACGATCAGAGCCATGGAAGTTTCTTCCTTCGAATCGGAGCAATCGGTGAGACATCGTATAATTTGTGTTTCCCGGTTTCGTGTACTGGAACAGAGTTTCGTATTTTCGTGCCTGTTCCCCGCAGCTTTCGGATTGGGGACCATGGTGTACAACGGTCTGGAGNGACGAGTCGCCAAAGCAGCATGTGGTCTGGCATTATCATCGGTAGCCATGTTTTCGCGATCGCGTCTCACTTAATAATGACATGAGACACCTCTGTTTCAGTTTATTTAGGAGAGTACATGTGTGTAAATGCAATGATAAAGAGAGATAGTCATATATGTCTCAAATCAACATGTGCATATGGATTGAAACTTGAAGTGACACTATCGGACAGAACATTCCGGTAGACCTAATAAATTATAAATTAGGTGCGATCTAGTTATGTGATTTAAAAAAACACAGGTATTTGCTAGCATAAAAAAACTACTATAGAAATCATATCTTGGATTCAGTCCACAAGTCGGTTCAAACTGGAAGTTGCGTGTCCGGGCAAATTCCATTAGAAAAGATTCCGAAGACCGATGTTATTGGTTCAAGGATCAGTCAAGCAGAGCCCTATCTGAGGGCCACTGATCGCGACGAGTGTGGCCTCGATGGAAAAAGATTTTTAATCGTGGAAACCGGGTACCGAATCGCAGTATCTCGTCCACGGGTCATGAATTTCGAGAGGCGGGCTGTCCGTGAAGTGTATTTCGGTCATTCGCTACGAATATCGAGCCGATGATGCGATTTTAAGAGAGTCACTTTCGGTGCTGACATAAGTGGGTTAGCCTGTCGGAGATCGAGCGTCGAGCAGGAGGCACGTGCTGCCGTTCCCCCATTCATTATCACGTGGGTCCACTTGAGAACTGAACATTCGGCAGTTTCGCGCTCATTAAAGGCCCGCGCAGCCTTTTCGGGTATCGTCAGTCATTTCGGGATTAGTTCGACACGCGAATTCCCATGAGCCTCGAATGGAAGCTTAACGAGACAAGTCTGAGATAGGGAATAATGATTCAGGATGCGGCGGATGTTGAAGCTGGAGTTGCTACGCGCGCGCTGAGGAAGCGGAAGACGTCGCAGAACGATCAGAGCCATGGAAGTTTCTTCCTTCGAATCGGAGCAATCGGTGAGACATCGTATAATTTGTGTTTCCCGGTTTCGTGTACTGGAACAGAGTTTCGTATTTTCGTGCCTGTTCCCCGCAGCTTTCGGATTGGGGACCATGGTGTACAACGGTCTGGAGTTCGGCACTTTCTTTGAGGTGCCACCCACGTCCCCGTGCTATCAGATCCTCCAGGGCGTGAACCCGCTACTCCAGATGATCTTCACTTTCATGCAAATGTATTTCATCTTCATGAACTCGAGGGTAGGTACTTGACCCCTGAAGAGAGCAACCACTAGCTAGACGGGAAGACTCCTAAGCATCTGACCGTTCGTTTTCCCAGCTGAACATCCACCGCTTCAAAGTGATCGCGCGTTTCGGCTTGATGCATGTCGTCGCCACCAACCTGTGCGTCTGGATTCGGACACTCGTGCTCGAGAGCATCAAAGAGATCACCAAGCATCATCAGAAAATGGGACAGTTCGAGGCCGGAATTCTTGGTTTGTACCGCTCCCGCTATTTTCAAAACATATCTCTTGAAACAACGTCTTTGAAAAGTCTTTATATAACTGCACAATAGTCTTGAGAACGCTTGAGTCAGCGATATAAGTAGAATTGGTGTGCAGTGGTCAGACGCTGCAACTAACATTACATTTTCTGAATAGCCTGTGATATTGTACATTGACATTTCATATCCTTCTGGTGACTGGGACCTGCATTCGCACACATATTTGTTTACAGGTTGTTCAAAAAATCGTGGCATATCCGGCAAGGGGATGATCCTACATGCAAAAATAAATCGAAAAATAAGAATAGCATTTTTTCATTCAAGACTCCATTCTCGAGAAAACTGAGTTGAAAGATGCGTTAAGTTCGCATGGCTTGTAAAATGACGAGAAGTAGAATTGGTATAACCAGACGTGCCAGTTGATTCCTATTCAGTAGTATTACTTTTTCAACCTAATTTTTTTCAAAAACGGAGCTTTAAATGAAAAAATGTTATTCCTCTTTCTCGACTTATTTTTGCATATAGAATCGTCAACTTACAGGTTATATCACAATTTTCCGATCACCTTGTATGTTTAAAACTTCAAGCGTGGTATTTCAATTGACTTATATATATATATACTTGATCATAAACTATATCTCCAATCTGCATGAAAAATTTCGTTCATAGTATTAACCCTTTGTTAAGTCTTGTTTATTGAATTTGTTTCTTGGTATCAAAAAGGCACAAAAAAAATATTAACATGCTAGACAAACACAGCTTTTTAGAAACCAAAAAATGTATAAGTGTCAAATGAAGATTACAAGAATGAAAATTGCCACAACAACAGAAATAGAGCAGCAGAAACAATCGAGTGTCTCTCATGTCACAATTTCCCCATTCAATTACTATCACACGTATTAGAAAATGAAGCGAACAGGTCACTGTATCTTTTTGTGTAGCAAGTAGCAGACAACAATTCTTTCTATAGTTCCTAAATCAATGTGACAGTCATACCCCTCAGGACTTTTTAGAATACTTCGCAGAGTCTGGAACATCCTATTTAATACCTTTTCACTACTTATTCGATACCTTACTTAAATATTGAAAATTTCCAGAGAGCATCAAGCAGCACTCGATGCGAAATGCAGGCGCCATCTTAGGCACTGCACCTCGAGACGTTGCGTTCTTGCGCGAGGCATCATTGACCGCGACCAGAGCGTCGACCTCAGCTGCATCGACGGTCGCCAGCACGACCGTTGCTCCATTAGGTCGTGTGATGAGAACGACGGCGAGGGCGGTTGCCAGGGCCGTCACCACACCGACGACCACCACCACAACCGGTTGGAACCCTCCGCCTTCAACGATGGCTTCCACCTCGGCCCCTCTGCCTAATTTGACGACCACCGCCGCGACCACCTTGTCCACTCTCTTGACGACGCTCACGCCGAAAACTACCACCGAAGAAAGGACCACTACCACCACTACTACCACCACCACTGCCAGTACTACGACCACCTCGACGTCCACTACAACCCCATCGACTACTTTCTCCTTCCTTTCGGATTTGCTTGATGCACCAGCAGACAGCAAAGAACAGGTAAAGGATACATATGTGTACTTGGTTCTCAACGAGTCAGTTATTTTCACTCGAAAACCTGCTGGTGGAGACGGCTTGCTACATGCTCCTTGCCTTTGTTCTTTAGACAGCGAAGCTCGGTGATTTACCGTAGACAAAGAATCCAAGTTAATCGCTAGAGAAATCATTAGAACGAGTAAAGTCGTTTGAGATTTAGTTCGTCATGATTCCAGCTATGAGTGTAGCCATATTTAATATTCATATAAGGATGTTCTTAAAGCTGTTCTAAAGTTTTAGCAACTCGCAAAAGGCCTTGCTATTTCCTTATAATGGTTACAAGCGAACGTGCTGAACAATTCACACAAAGTTGCCATATTTTCCTGAAACAACGGTGGACATATTTTATGAAAAATTAAAGGCGGCGCCTTCGAACATCTTACAAAATCAATAAATATTTTAGGAATACGACACATAGATCTATCATCGTTCTTCCGCAGGTTCACCAGATCTTCAACGCGAACAATCACACGAACAGCAGCGATTACTGGAGCTCGAACTTTGGAATGATCGCGGAAGCGTTGACGGACGAGGAAATGGCATCCAACTCGTGCGGTCGCGTAAACATCATGGGAACCATCGTTCAGGACGCTGAGCCTTACCTGTTTCCCTTCATAATCGAGTACAGTCTGGTCGGAGCTGCAGTGATTTATGTGATGTGGAAGCATATTGGCCGGCATCCTCGTTGGCCTCATCAGGTGGAGGCTGATCTCGAACGCCGCCTCGAGGCTATGTTGTCCCGAAGAGCCGTCGCTTTGGCCCACGCAGGTAATTGCCGGTTTCTATCTGTAGTTTATCATCGTTTAGAGCAGATCCTATAATACCCCGAGTCTCTTAGTCAACGCGGGCTTCGTCGGAAATTGCTGCAGATGCAAAAAAGAAAGACATTTGTTCGAAAGTATCCGGATGCGTTAATCGTTTATTTGGTTCTGGATTTTAAACTTTTGGATTTGTGAGAATGACAATGTAATTGTTTTCAATTGACAATTATTATGGTCTTAGTTAATGTCAACTTTAATATGTCAGCTTTAATTGACACCTCAGATATTAACCCTTAGCGGATCAAAAGTATTTTAACCCTTTGCACTCCGCTGTCCCCTCTCGTGGGACATCGTAATTCTAGCATATCACTCGAATGTCCCCTCTCGTGGGACATCGTAATTCTAGCATATCACTCGAATGTCCCCTCTCGTGGGACATTAAAGTTTATTAGTGATTACGGGGAAATGAGTTATTTCAGCGCAACTTTTCGAGACATGCATGTTTTCCTGATGTTTTCTCTTGAAATGGCACAAGAAATCGAATCAAAATGTAGTAAAATTACTAAGATATATACAAGAAATGTCAGCGAGTTTTGACGAGAACGTGAGAGGCGTGCTCACGACGGTCCGAGCACTTCAGATCGGTATGCGAACATAGCACGCACTGTATAGTGAGATTTATAATCATAAAATCTGGAGGAAAAAATTTTCAAAGCTGAACTCAGTCTGGTTTGAAGCGTCGAGCGGTACAGATAGAGCTAACGAGTGAGAAAATCGGAAAAGTGATTCTTCTCTTGGTAAATAAATTGTTTGGTAAAAGTTTTTTTGGTAAATATCATCTTGTGAGTTAGTAATAATAATTAGAAATTTTCAACCTATGTATTTATTCATATTTTTTATTAGAACAATGGCAAAACGTTCAAACACGAATGAGGTTCATAACACAAATAGTAATGAAGATGAGCTCCAGATAGACGTTTATACAGATATGTTAGAAAGACTAACTATGTAGAAGGTTTTCTTCTACAGTTAGTCTATCGTTTTGATAGCAGTGATAGTGATATCGTCCAAGCAACAAGGCGACGAGAGAAAGAGTTCGCATAGATAGCGATTACAACAACAAAACAAAATTATGAAACAAACAATAACAAAACTATAAAAAATAAAATATTGATTTTTTTGCAAATTTCTCGATTTCAGCCAATTCATATAAGTCTAATATCATTGTAATATGTTAGTTAGTTCCAAAACCATACTAAATAATACGAGGGTCTGTAAATGCCCGTTTCTGCCGAAAAGTGGCGCTGAGTAACTGGCAGCCAACGTCCAGAATGCTTCGGAGTGCTAAGGGTTAAGTTTGCATACCGCCAAGTCCAAGCTATTTTTCATACGAAGAGAAATTATGTACTGCGGATTTGTATATCAAATATTGAAGAAGGAATATTTAATTCTTGATAAAAATTCATTGATATATTTTCAAAAAAATCACCGTGTCTATTCTTCCAAAGTTTCCTGCCAGATTTTACGGCTTTATTAATTTCTGTCGCATATATGGCGGTACTGGGCCGTTAAGGGTTAAAAAGCTAAATCGGGATGGAAGGATTGACAGATTTTGTCTACATTGTTTGATTTGGTTTGATTCGAGGTTTGTGGACGATCGATCACGACTTTCGATGCATCGAAATAATTTTGTTAAAATTTCAATTATATGTATATATGTATACAGGGTGTTCGGAAAATCGTAGTATAACCTGCAAGGGGATGATTCTACATGCAAAAATAAGTCGAGAAAAACGAATAACATTTTCTCATTTAAGGTTCCGTTTTGAAAAAAAAATTAGATTGAAAAAGTAATACTATTGAATAGGAATCAACCGGCACGTCTGGTTATGACATACCAATTCTACTTGTCGTCATTTTACAAGCCATGCGAACTTAACGCATCTTTCAACTCAGTTTTCTCGAGAATGGAGTCTTGAATGAAAAAATGCTATTCTTATTATTCGATTTATTTTTGCATGTAGGATTATCCCCTTGCCGGATGTACCACGATTTATCGAACACCTTGTATATCAGAAGTTAAAGTATCCTTAATAATTCTTCAAGCCTTAATTTGAGTCCTCGATCGTTGAAAAATCTTTACGGAGAATACATGGAGAAATGAATTTGTTGGAAAATCGTTTCTGAAGTGGAACAAATCCGCAGAATTGAGTGGAAGTAATGAATTCGCAGGTAGAAATTAATTATTGAACGAATGGATTGCAGCAGTTTCCGACGAACTTGCGTCTCATTCCATCCGATCACTCCCCTGCACACCATCGGGGCTACGCTTGATCCGCGCGAATTCCCTCCGAGGTAGCCCCGTTCGCATTAGTCGAGACCTCCCACTAAAGCCTCCTCTGAACGCGTATAAACTAGGTCACACAAGGGTGGACTGTGTAGGAGCGAGCAAAGGACTATTCTTCGGCCTGCTGCTGCTGGTCGGTTCTCTGATCTGCTTGATTCTCTTCTTCGTGCTGATCCATCACCCAGACTTCGGTCTGATCGCGATATACCTGGCGGACGTGTCGCACTGCGTGCTGATGGTGCTCTCGATCATCGCCATAATCGTCGGGTTCATACGCGTGCAGAGCTTGAAGTTCAAGGCGGAGGAGCAGAGCGACTTGAACGACATCCTGCTGCGCGTCTCCGGCTTCGGGCTGTTCATCTACGCGGTGTTCAGCGTGATCGCCGGTTCACTGGCGGCGTTCACGCACGAGCCGAATCTGCTGGTGATGCTGACCGGCCTACTATCAGTGGCCCACGTGATCCTGCAGATGCTGTTCATCGCGGACGTGTCCCGCAGGAGGGTCCACCTGCCAGAGCACGACCGCAGTAAGCCCGGTCGGCAGGTGGTCACCTTCCTGCTGATTTGCAACCTGACCATGTGGGTGATCTACACGTTCGAGTCGCAGAAGGTGATGGCGAACCCGGTCCAGCTCGACTTCTACGGGTTCCTGGCCTGGGCCATCGTGCAGAGGGTCACCCTGCCGCTCTGCATCTTCCACAGGTTCCACAGCGCGGTCACGTTCGCGGAGATCTGGAAGACCAGCTACAAGGCGCGCCTCGAGTAAACGGGAACTCGCGTCCTTCGTCGGGATCCACGGCCCGGAGCGATCGCGAGTACAACGATCCCCTCGCAGGGGACTGAACATTCCAACAACCCTCTGCTCGAGTCGAGGGCGCGGTCGTCGATCGGGACGCGGTACGTGGACGCAGGCTTTCGAGTCGGAACGGATTCTTCGGGTCCCGGATCGACGACGCAGCGGATCAGTCGCAGGCTCGCCGAAGAAACGGGGATCTTGATGAACCGGGTGTCCACCCTCGGACCACCTTATCCTCTTTCCAGTAGCGATCACGCGGTTGCTCGTCGAGAGGGAACTTATGTACTCGTCTGTACTCCGCGTCCTCCAGGCCGGACAAGCCGCATGGGACCGCCAGGAGCCCTTTTGTTTTTCTCTGTTTGTCGGAACACACGTTCAACAGGTTTGGTTCTCGGTTGTTCTCCTTGCTTAAAAGCAGCTTGACACGTTGCTTCCTTGATCGGCGAGTGAAACGAGGAACGCCAGGACATGCTGTCGACGGCGTGGACATCGAGACTTCACACGCCAGGAAGCGCGAAGACCAAAACAAAGACACGGACGAGCAGACCTGCTACCAATTCTCTGCAACGGAACCAGGGCCCATTTCCTTTTTCATCGCGTTTCAAACGTTTCACGATCTCTATAATACTGCCGCCAAATTTTCTACTTTTATATATTACATACGTACCCCCCGCCCCATCATGCATCGAGAACATCGGGGCAGCGGAGGTTCGCTCTTCGGATCGGTCCCCGCAATGAGAACACGGGGATCGGTTGCGATTCCGGATATCGATGGAGGACGAAGAGCGAATGAGCGCCTCGAGGAATCACCTCATTAGGAAACAAGTACGTTCTTCGTTAGCACAGTCTGCGATAGCTGTAGAGCAAGAAACAAAGCGTTCGAGAGGAAATCGCAAGAGAGGGGTGCGGAACGAAGCTGAGGAGGCTCGATGCAGGAGCAGGGTGTCAGTTTCGCTGCGATTCGCGCATTCTTTAAATGCAATTTGGCAGGATATGTCTCGAAAACGTGCGAGAGAGAATTAAACGGGTTAATTTTTCTATTTAATTATCGATTGGTCAAGTACGATGTAAAGTGCGAAAGAAACGCGAAACTGTTTATCAATGTGTACATTCGTGAGCTTTCTCGAGGGAGAGAATCTAACGTTCTAGTTTATTTGCATTGCTTTTTGGATTTTCTTTGTACGAAAGGTAAAGATTCTTTTATAAAGAGCTACCGTTTGCTTCATACTTCTCACTACATTAAAAAGATTATGTTACTAGAAGACGCATGGATATGTCGAATAATCAAATGCACTTCAAACTACGTTTACAAGATCTCAACACTTCTTGTTTCGTATTCTTTCTTGATGGTTTATTGTTGATAAAAATATCACATTAGTGCAACAGAGTATGCAAATATAGACTAGCAAAGTGTGATCTAGTTCCTACGCTTCTCTTTTCATTTAGCATCATGTTAGTGGAGGAAGTATGGATAGAGGAAACGATTAAATGCGCATCAACTTTAAGCATCTAGAAGAAGTTAGCTCCTCTTGTTTCTCATTCCTTGGTGCTTGACTTTACACTGATGAACGTTAAAAGCACAAATATTTGAACCTCTTAATTAACGCATTGAGATGGTAGAGAAGACCCTTGGCTATCAGTTCAAAGGTTTAAATAAATGTAAATTTGTTTTCTCCAATGTTTGCCACGTTTTCGAGAGTGCATCCGCTGGTGCATCATCGGAGCAGATTCTTGGTCTCGCGGATAATCTCTTTCGTTCTGACGGAGAGGATCTAGCAAGATCCGAATGAAGGATCATGGGGAGAGATCGCGAGAGAGTTGTTACATTGTTCCGGCGTTCTTTCTCGTCGCGTGCTGCCAGAGTACAAAATCGTTTCTAAACTTTTAGAATCTTTTATCGACACACTGTCGCGACATTCGCGAATTGCGCGTGTAGAGAAAAGACGTACGGTGAAAGAAAGGAAGCTGAAGGAAGACGAATGAAGGTCGAGAGACGCGACGAGGAAAGAAGGTGCGAACGAGAGGGACGAATGATGGTTAACGTGCAGCGAGTTCGAGCGCGGATCGTTCTGTACAGAGAGGGTAGATCGCAGTTTCTTTTTCTCTGGATTTTCTTTTCCTTTCTTTTCATTCTCTTTTCGTAAACGTTCCCCAAGGAGACATGCTCGAGGATGTTCGGTGACGGAGAAGAGAAGGCGAGAGGACCGCGAATGAAGCGTAGATTTTAATGATCGCAGGCGGCGTTTCAAGATGGTGGACGGCCGGCGGAAACAAGTGAACGGAAACGAACAAAAGCGGAATGAACAAACAAACAAACAAAAAATAAATGTCGATAGCCGGTCGCACACATGGTAGAGAATAATCTCATACACGCATTTGTCACACGCATACATAAATACATACATTACGTGCGTACGTACACGGACACCCATTTCACGAGAGATAATTATTAATTACCATTATCGATTAGCGTTTAAGCCTATCTCGGAGAAACACACACAAAGAGAGAGAGAGAGACAGAGGAACGGATAGGTGGACCTTTCGCATTTACACTTCGCTATGGATATCGTGCGTAGATCGTTGAGAACAAGTGAAAAATAATAGTAATAATAATAAAATAATAATAAAAAAAACGTGTTTTACATAGTGATTATACATGGTGAGAATCCCTCCACGATGGGAGAGAACCACACACACACACATACACCCCCACTGGAAATCATATGTTTCCTCCCCCCACCGGGAAAAAGAAAATCGAGCGTACGTACCTAGTTAACCGAAGTCGAAATATTTTAATTCTTAGACGTCTGTATAGGTGAGAGAATAAAAGAGAGAAAGAGAGCGCGCGCGAACGAGAGAGAAAGAGAAAGGGGGGTCGAAGGGGGCGGGGAACAGGAAACAAAGAGGGACGAAGTTTGCGAAACTGATTATACATAAAGATAAAAGAAAACTATACATAATTGTAACCCGAGACGACATTATTGACGAAGAGAGGCGACAAGAGAGAGAGAGAGAGAGAGGGAGAGAGAGAGAGAGAAAGAGAGAGAGATGCATCAAGATATAAATATAAATAAATTAATATAAATATATATATAAATATATATAGATAGATATATATATATTATATATAAATATATAAATATAAATATAAATAAGATTACGGAGATCTTTTATTAATTTTGATGTGCGCGAAGAAACTGTGCGGAAACGAGTGACGAATGCGTGCGAATATGTAAATAACGATGCACAGAATAATTATTGTTCAGCGGAGTGTTTGTGAGAAGCGAGGAACGATCGTGTCGCGAGTTCTGTTTTCGAGGGGGTGACGATCGAAGGGGGGTGCGACCGCTTCCCTGATAGTGTGATCCAACGCTTTTATTCGGCACCTCGTTCCGTGATCAACCAAAACTGCCAATATCTCTGATACCGGTCGATCGTGCACACCCCTTCGCCTCCGATTCCCTCGTTTCGATTTCGTCGTGCTCGAAACGAATCGTTCGTTCGCACGAGAACTTCCTTGCGTCCGGACGACGTTTTCCGCCCTTCCACCGTGTTTATCCAATCACTGCATTCGCACCTCTTTTGTAACACTGTGTATCGGAAGTAATTAGACAGTTGAAGGATTCGTCAATCCACTTTATGAAATACAGAATGAGGTACAAATATTTCTTCTTATAGAGATATCGTCTGAATGCGACAAAAATACTGTTAATTTTTTAGAACATTGTAAAACAAGAATATTACTCATTTTTGTTATTGTATACGTTCTCTTGTATTTTACATATAAAGACCTGCAGCTTCACAATTGCATTCCAATACGTAAGAGACAGACTTAATTGAGGGCCCACGTCGCACAAAAAAATTCAAATGTTGTGTCGAATGATTAGAAAATCGATCAGACTGTAGTAATACAAGGGTAGACAAAGGAGCTATCGGGGCTTTCATTGAGGCGAAATCATAATTAACAAGGCACTGCCACACAGGACCAACAGAAACCAAACGGAGAAGGGTTGCGGCCGAGCGAGAGAGAAAGAGGAGGAGAGGACAAATCGCGCGCTAACACGACGAGGGAGACAACCACCTTGGTGATTTTTGGAAGAACGGTAGTGCTAGAGAAAGAGAGAGAGAGAGTGCGAAAGAGAGAGAGAGAGAGAGCGTAATGAAAGATAATTAGTACCCTTCCAAGTGTGGTCGCGAAAGAGTACGTGTGCATCCGCGTGCGTGCGCGAGAGCCTGAGGAACGATGCGGTTGCGGACGTGGTTCGTTTTTATTCGGCAAACAACGTCTTTGTATACTCTGCCAGTGTTCTAGTGAACAGCAGGATCATGGTTCTTGTATATGTACATCAGTATCTCGATAGTAGCCGTAAGCCTAACCAATGGGTCGCGAATTTGCCCGCGAAGAGGACTGGAGATTCGCGTCGAATTTGCACGTGAAATGAAATTTTGCGTGGGTAAATTTCGGTGAACGGTTTTGAAAATTCAAGAGAGATCGAATGGCGAAGCTAAAACGCGGGAACGTTCGCAAGATTATGCGAGCGGAGGGGCTTCAAAAGAGGGCAAATCCGCGACGCATCGTCATTTAACATTACGTAGTGAGTTTTCGATGTCTTCGAGCATAATTACAGTTTGTACACATCACACAATACGCGCGCACAACCGACGTATCCACGTCAAACGGCTCGGTCAGACTGGCACGGTATTTCAAACAAGGTGAACGACAGTGGGTGATACGATGGCCCCGCATAAGTTGTTCAGCGGGGTCCGCAGGATTCGGGACGAAGGTCAGGACGATGCAGGACACAAGGATAAAACTCTCTACAAATTTACATGTTGTCGTGTAAGCAGTTCTTTCAAAGTCGAGTAGCGACGATACGAAACCGTAAAGCTCGTAAATTCGCTCATCCATCGATTCCCATTTTGATTGTATAACGTTAAACACGCCGTTTCATTGTAATCCGTTAAGGCGGCAACGCCACGCTGTCGCCGTCATTTGTAACGATATACGATTATATTGGTTAATAAAAGTTATCTAGATGTACACGCCTCTCTCGTTGATCTATCGATCCAGTTTTTAGATTCTAAGATCCCAGTTAACCTATCTTAGAGTTAGATTAAATTTGAGTCAATTCTATTTGTTCAACCGATCGATCGGGTAATTTTTTATCAAAATTAAATTTTTAGTATGATATCCTAATCATTTTCAAATTGCAATCATTCTATATAAATGTACATTCGCCTAACTTTCCTACGATAATACACCCTACAATAGATCTTGAGATTGAGACATTTTTCTCCGAGATAGCGAACGGGATTTTTCATTTTCCAAAATTATTTCGAATTTCTTTTCACTTTTACGATTGGAAAACTCGAAAGAAATCCCTAGTAGGATATAATACATATAATAATTCTGCGCATATTTGAATCGTAATTACTTAGATATATCAGAAAGAAGAGGCTCACGTCCGGGTTTCAAAATGACAATACAGTAGCTTATAAATTGCGAAGATCTGACATAGTGAGTTCCGCGTTAGCAGAAGAGTTTCGAATCCAAGGGTTCTGCGTTAGCAGAGTTTTGAACCCAAGGCTTCCACGATAGCAGAGTTTCGAACCCAGAACTTTCACGTTAGCAGAGTTCCGAACCCAGGACTTCTACATTAGCAGAGTTTCGAACTCAGGGCTACCATGTTAGCAGAGTTTCGAACCCAGGGCTTCCATGTTAGCAGAATTTCGAACCTAGTTATTAAACATTACTATGGTTTCGAAACACATGGTCCGTAGAGATCATCATATCACAGACGAGGTATAGGAGTAGACTGGACATCCAATGCATTATTCTGTCACCCTAAAATGGGAAGAGAAGTCCCAGATGTCCCATTGCCAATCCTATTAGAGTTGTTCAAATACTCGCAAAATACGAATCGGATATTACACAGCTCGAATGATCGATCCCAATCAAGACTCGAAAGATTGAGAGACCGGATGTAAGAGAGCGACTCGAATGTAAGCGAGTAATTCGACTAGCGAAAAGCTGTTTTCAACAATTGGAAATGTTGTAATCGAGAGATCAAAGTTATTACGTAATAACACACGTAGATAAATCAGTTGTTTTTAACCGAAAATTTAAACACTTAACATTTAACACATTTAACATTAACAAACATATTTCTCTTTTCTGGTATATTAATTTCGTTTAATGTTATTAAGTTAAATGAAATAGACAACTTCGCAAAGTAAACTTCAACAGAAATAAAACAATCTAAAACTAGGGCTACATTCAAAATAAAACGACACGTTTTTGAATCCCAGCATTTTAAGAAATTCTGAACATTTTCGGGAAACCCGAACATTCTTAGGGATTCCGAACATTTTCGGAAAACATTAACATTCTCGGGAATCCCGAAAATCATACCCATTCCCGTCCCGACTCGTTTTCGCACACCTTTATTTACAGCACATTTTTTAATTTTAAAGCCGCAAATTCATGCGGCGCATACATTCAATCCATGAAAATGGTACGTATAAAATACAGGATGTTCCAAAATTATTGTACCAGCGAGAAATGAGGGGTTCCTGAGATCATTTGAACATGATTCTCCCGAATCATCGAGGCGAATTTTCTAACTGAAAATTCAGAAAAGATTGCGCAATCGATATATATCACACATCTACAATTATAACGAAATATTATTTTATAAATATCGAAACTTTATTTTGCAAAGTAGAGATTACAACATACATATTACAATGTTACATCTTCATTCGCATTTAAACCGTTTATTTGGAAAAAATAGGAAAGGGAGAAATATTGAACGAGGAAAAATAGTTTTTTGGAATAATAAATAGACGAATGGATCAATAAATATTTCTATCTTCCGATGTAATATAGAATTTGACAAGTAAACGTTTTCGGACATGTTAGTTACATTTGGATATTATGTAGTTAAATATATTTGAAATGGTATTTTCATATGTATGACTATTATTTATTGAATTCTGTATCACATGAGGATATATAATGTTGTTTCTCTTTCTCTCTGTTCTATTTATTATTTTAAAAAATCTATTTTTCTCCAGCTCTGCTTCACAGCCATTAGCTCGGTGTAATTATAGATTTCGAATCTATTATAGAACGATCGAGGTTTCTTTCGATTTATAACCGACTGGAAATAGAAAATTACATCGATTGCCCGAGTCTCACCACGTGGAGGTTGCTGTGACTGGAGACCCGAAAGGAAGTCAGGACGAAACCAGAATCCGTTATGACCTCTTTTCTTACAACAACAAGTTTTACTTATTAAATAAATGACTTAATAAATAATGACTTAATAACTAAAGCCTTAACAATTACCCCTTAATAAATAACGACTTAATAATTAGCCTTTAATAAATAACGACTTAATAATTACCCCTTAATAACTACCGCTTAATAACTAGCCCTTAATAACTACTCCTTAATAATTACCCCTTAATAATTACCCCTTAACACGTTCCGTGCCACGTGTACCATCCATGGTACACACTTGCATGTTTACTTAGTGAACTGAACAAATTGTTTACAAGAAATTTAGAACCGAAGAATCAATTTCCACCGCAAGAATGGGCGTTAATAAGTT